GATGGATGGATGGATGGATGGATGGATGGATGGATGGATGGATGGATGGATGGAAGGATGGATGGACGGATAGATAGATAGATGAATAGATAGATGATAGCTAGCTAGATGATTGATAGATGATAGATAAATGATATAGTTAGATATAGAAAAAGACAGATTAGAGGAATAGTAGGTGATAGCTAGCTAGCTAGATGATAGATGATAGCTAGATAGATGATAGCTAGATAGATGATATAGATAGATAGATATAGAAAAAGATAGATTAGATGAATAGATGATAGCTAGCTTGCTAGATGACAGATGATAGCTAGATGAGACAGATAGACAGATAGATAGACAGACAGACAGACAACCAAATAAGCCAAAGTGAACAGCTACAAAGGGGGTGGAAATAAAAATCAGTTTTTCATATTGATCCCCTGCCTTCACACTTGCAAAGCTTTTGCCTGGTGTGACTCCATCAATGGAAATGGGGATTTTAAAAATGGTGGATACAATCATGTGATCACAGCCACTCCCATTTTAATGTACACCACTTTGGGACCGATGCTTCAGCCAGTGACAAACAAGGGCCTTTTTATTTTTCCACCCATTTTTAGGAAACTGTTTTAAAATTACCCAATATTGTTTTGCAGATGGTTTGTAATTTTACCTGCAATGATATAAAACATTACTGCTACTGTTGCTGCTGCTAATGAAGATGTTACTTTTATCAACCTTATGCTCTTGTTTTATTGTTTTATACTGATCTGTTGTGTTTTAGATGCTCTTAACAGATTGCCCAATGAATGTGGTTTACTGAGCAATTTAAAAAAAATATCAATAAATAAATAGATACAGACACCAACGCATGCACGAAACAAGATTTTAGCCAAGGAAAACATTATCTATATCTCCCTCTAAACATCCTTCAGAAAAGCTGGACTACACTTCCCACCGGTTCTAGCAACTCCGCCATTGAAGAACAATTTCAAAATCAAGATCTACCAAGGAACTACACATGCTGATTAGCTTTTGCTGCAATAGAGTAGTTCAACTCTGCCTCTTGACCAAAATCATCATGATGTGAAGTATGTGTGACTTATACTTTTATGTGAAGTATATGTGAAGTATGAAACTGGACAGCCACTTGTCTGAAATGATATAGGATCTCCTGCTTGAGCAGGAGTTGGACTAGAACATCTCCAAGATCCCTTCCAACTCTATTCTATTCTGAAGTTCAGGCGCTCATTTAATTTCCATAAAGGCTCAGGGCTTAACTTGATATTTTAGCAGCTAAGCAAAATATAAACACAAGACCTGCTGATATTTCCCAGTCAATGGTGTTGAAAGTCACCAGCAGTATCTACAAGGAAAGGGGAAGGACGAGAAAGGTAAGATGATAACTGTGATCATGAAATCAATGTCCACCTTTTTTATATGTTGATATTCCACATATCTACAAAGGGGAAATATTTAAACCTGCTGCCAAAACCACTCTCTTGACGTTTTCTGGCCCCCTTCTCTTTCAGATGTAACACCGTGGTATAAGAACCTATGTCTCTATTAACCTGTTTGGCTGCAAAGTAACTACATGGCTTATAGCACGATTGAGCAGGTTCAGAGGTATTTCTCTACTCACAATCTTCTTCTTCTCTTCTTTTTCTTCAGCGTTTGTCTCGCGCTCTGGCGAGGTCCGCTAATGTCCTTGAGTACTGCTTCCATGCCTCTCTGTCTGCCACGTATGTCGGGTCTGCCTTCGCGATCTCTAGATCGGCCTTGATCGTGTCCATCCAGCGTTGCTTAGGTCTACCACGCGGTCTCGCTCCTCCGACAATCACCTTCATCGCAGATTTGATGATGGATTCTTCCTTGGCGCGACTCACATGGCCGAACCATCGTAGCCGGGACTGCCTCATGACCGTGGGGATGGGCACGACGTTGAACCGTCTGCGCACTTCTTCATTCCTGACGCGATCGAGTAGGGTGAGGCCTGCCGACCATCGGAGCATTCGCATCTCCATTGTCTGGAGTCTGCTTTCGACTTCTTTGGTCGTCGGCCAGCACTCTGCGCCGTATATGGCCACGGGGCGCACCACAGAGTTATAGATTTTCGCCTTCAGGCGCATCGGCATCTTCTTGTCACAGAGGACGCCCGTGACGGACTTCCATTTGCCCCACGCTGCGTTGATCCTGGCTGCCACCTCAGTTTGTAGTAGGCCTTCTTCCCCAAGAGTAGTTCCCAGGTACTTGAAGGTGGAGGCGCGCGGTAGCTCCTGCCCGTTCACGTGGATGGAGCCTGTCGTTTCGTTGTCAGTGGTCAGGTATTCGGACTTCTTTAGGTTCAACCGGAGCCTGAACTGCTCGAGGCGGTCATGCCACTGTTGAACTAGGTGCTCGAGTTCAGCCTTCCGCAGGTTGGCCAGGAACACATCATCGGCATAGAGCAGCGTCCATGGGGCGGGCGTGTGCAGGTCGTGTGTAATTGTGTCCATCACCAGAATGAACAGCAGTGGTGAGACAGCAGAGCCCTGGTGTACGCCGACGGTGATATTGAACTCCTCTGATATCCCAGCTGTCGCTTTTACACGGCTTTTGTGACATCTGTATAGGAGTTGGACCCATTGTACGAGTAGCTCGGGCACGCCGTGATCTCGCAGTGCGTACCAGATGAGATCGTGCGGGACTCGGTCGAAGGCCTTTTCCAAGTCCAAGAAGGCGGTGTGGAGCGGGATTTTCTTCTCTCTGTGAGCCTCCATCAGCATCCGCACACCGAAGATGGCATCGGTGGTGCCGCAGTTCTTGATGAATCCAGCCTGGTTGACGCTGATGTCGACGATGTCCCGAATGCGCTTATCGAGGACGCGTTCGAAGATCTTCATAGTGTGTGACAGTAACCTGACCGGTCTGTAGTTGGAGCAGTCCGCTGGGCTGCCCTTTCCCTTCCAGATCGGAACAGTGGTGCTGCGGTACCAGTCGTGTGGCACTATTCCCGTGGAGACGATGTTGTTGAACAGCTCGCACAGCCACAATGCCGAGCCCGGTAGTGCCTTTTTCCAGAAGTCGGCAGGGATGTCGTCTGGTCCTGTTGCCTTACCGTTTTTCATGGCCTTGATGGCGTCGGTGACCTCGCTGGCGTGAATGCCTGAGACTGGGCCTTCGACGGGGTCACCTCGCGGGGTTCGTGGGTGTGGGAACTCCTCGGTGGAGATCTTCTCGAAGTATTGCCGCCACCTCTCGGCAGCGTCTCTGGGGTTGACGATCAAATTTCCCCTTTCGTCGTTGATCCCATGAAACTGGTCAATGTCCAGGGTCTTCCTGTGTCTGCTTTTGGCTAGGCGGTAGATCTCATTCTCGCCTTCTCGCGTGTTCAGCTTCTCGTAGATGTCGTCGTAGTGGGAGCTTCTGGCTGTCGCTACTGCTTTCTTGGCTGCCTTTTTGGCCGCCTTGTACTCGCAGAGCTTCTCGCTGGTCTTGTCCTGAAGAAAGGCCTTGTAGAGCCGTTTCTTCAGGTGCACGGCATCTTGTACTTCCGGTGTCCAGAGCCATGTATCTCGTTCGATGCGTCTCCGTCCTGGCTTGGTACAACCAAGCTGTTGGCAGCCGGCAGTGTGAACAGTGCTCTTCAGCATGGACCACGCTTCCTGTGGCCCGTCGACCATCTGCAGGAACTGCTCCGGTTTGATGAGGGGTCCCGCCATCTTCTTCTGGTTCCACCACTTGATTCGTGGCTGGTCTGCATTCTTTTTGTCAATCTTGGTCTTGGGCTTGCTGATCCTGATCTTCGCCATCAGCGGCCTGTGCTGACTGCTCG